TGTCTGCATCTTTGCTACTTACTTCCCAACTGCCACATTCCAACAGTACAGGAGTGCTTAAGACTCAACACAGCCCTCCTTTCTTTTTAAGGTCCTGTCAAATAAAGCCTAACTAGAGTGAGCCTTTGTCAGCAGACACAGCAGATAGCCTCCAAGGTGACGAACGATCTACCATGAACAGAACGACGCTGAACAGAGAGCTCGATTCAATGGCAATCATACACAGATAGTTTCCTATCCACCCAAAAGGAAACTTTTCAGCTATAGTAGATATAGTAAAGCCTAAGAAACTCAGCATTTACATCTTCAAAATCTCAACTCTTAACTATCAGGGTTAGATGGGACAGAGTACTAAGCACAAAAGAGACAATGAGACTTTAGTGGAGACTTTCTGTGAGCAGAAAGGGAGGGAAATAAGTAAAGACCCTAGGAAAGCTCATCAGTGAGCAGCAAAGCTCTCACTTTTAAATAGGAATCTGACAAAGTGACAGAGACTCTCAGTATTCAGGATCTAGATCAGGCAGTCATCCCTTCTAAGCAACAGAGAAGAGAGCCAGCAGTACGCCCATAGGTTTGGACATAAGGGAAAATAAGCAAACAAATTCAGTTTTTTACTCACAGTAAAAGCCAAACCAGCCTGAACTGTCAGCTCTGGCAGTCTTCACCCAGTGATCCCACCTACCGGGGAAGATGACAGGCAGTAAGTTGCTGAATTAAGGGTCAAGTCTAACTGCAGCTCAGGTTTTATAGTCTAAAGGGGAGGAGAGCAAATGGCAAAGTCCCAGCCACAGCTGAGGCAGTGCAGGCTGAGAACTGGCCTGCCCCGTGTTCTCACAGGGCTGCTTATCTCCCTTTGTTCCTGGAGGAACTGAAGGGCAGCCCAGCCTCCAGTAGCCTTACTTAAGTATCCTGAATGAGGGGCCGGTCAGGCAATGAGGTCTGGGCACACGGTTGTAAGCACTACAAGCCTCACAGGAACATAATTTTGGTTGTTATTCTCAGTAAGATTAAAAAGGCATCTTCAGAATCCAGGGACAAATTTCTAGTCTGTTTCTACAATCTGTGACAAAAAACCCTTAAGGCCCCACCACTTCATCTTGTCTCCTTTCCACAGAAACCAACTGCACACAAACTGACTTAAGCACTAGTACATCTTCTTCCCTGGTGGCCAAAATTAACAGGAAGCCAATAACAGCACCACCATTAGGACAACTTTTCCATTAAAAACAATGAACTTTCTTCAAGAGAAAACCAAACCACTCTGGGCATCATCATAAGAATCACATAGAATTCTCTAAAACATTTTGTTTTGCTCAGAAGCTGCTGCTTGAGTGAATGCCAGGACCCAGGACGTCCTGTCTGCAGGTTCCCGAGTCATCCTGGGGTAGGCTTCTTAAATCTGAGCCCAAATATATTGGGGAGTGGGGGTTGCACAGGGCTGTCTTGTCTGTCTCTCTCCAACTTCTGTCTCAACTTCCCTGCTGAGCCCATTGCTTTGCTAAGAATCTCCTGCCAGAAAAGAGTTATTAAATCAAGATCAAGGTGTTTTTCAAGTAGTATGATACCAAGTCCCATTTTTCCCCTCGGTCATTAAAAAAACAAAACAAACAAACAAACAAGACCACTCACTACTCCTAGTCAATCAGATGGTAACCGATTAAAACAAACCAGGGAGGGCACAGCACTAAGCGTATGGCTATACAAAAGTAGTGCCGTATTTTAAGGCATCCATCCTTAAAACAAGGATACTCACTTCTTGAAACCTTGAGGATTGCTTAGTAATTACTAGTAAACATTAATTACTTTATACCTAACAAGGTACTAAACACTGGGCCGCAGTGAATGCTGAGGTGATGAATGGCCCTTGCCAGACCCTGACCTTTCCAGCAGTTTCCCCAGGACAAAGATGAAGCAAAAATGGGGACAGAACCAAATGCAGGTCCTGTGCTTGCTCCACCATTGTCTTAAAGCTCTGCAGAGTAAATTCAGTCATAAACTTCTTTACCCTCAATATAAGCTCTATTTATTTTTCAACGAATCAGGTACATGATGAATTCCAGCTCACCTTGGATACTCTCAGGCTCCTGATCTGTAATGTAGGTAACACTAAAACTATTCAATCTCAGATGTCACTGGCTGCCTGGCTTACTAGACCAATGATAGGACTTCTACAGGTCGTTCCAGCTACCTGCTTTCTTCAGTGGTTAATACAACTTCAAAGAATCCCTAAGAAATCTTAGTATTGGTGAAGTGCAAGAGTGAGGGTTCACGGTATGTGGCTGGGACCCAAGCACAAGAGGGGGATCTGATATGAACCAACACAAAGGCCTACCTTTTCACTACTTTCTGTGATTTATTGTTCAAAGGCTGTGTTAGGCTACACTCAGGAACACTGACTGACTCACTCTACGCCACACACCTAAGTCCTTACAGCATCTCCAATCTCACAATAAAATGCATCTCCATTTCACACACACAATGATTTAAGGTCTCAAAATTATAAGTAGCAAAGCAATCAGTCTCAGTCAACAGGATTGAACTGGGTAAAGCCAACAGACTTGTTTTACCGTGTCTCCGCCCATCAGGCACTCTGCACTTTAGTGACTCGTGTTCCCACCCTGGGCTGTAACACACATTCCCGAGCTCTTCTCTTCTCTCTCCACATAGTCCCCAGGGACACTGCTGTTCTACCCTTTCCCTGACCTACACTGGTCTCATTTTAGGCAATAAAAGACAAAGGACAGGTTAGCTGTAGTAAGGACACCACAAACACAACAGCCAACTGTGTGCACCCTAAATTCCTTTGCAACCCGTTCCTCTTCCACTCTAACGATGATGGCTCTTACCCACTCCCGCTACACAATACACCCTATACGACAGGAAGTGGTCTTTTAAAGGGTGCTGTTTCATTCCTCTTCAGAACTTCCTGATCTAGAATGAATTAAACCAAATCTCATGCATACAAGAACCCATGTAGAATTTCCAGGCTCTGCTCACTTCTCTAGAGACTCCTGGGCTTCAGGGCCTATGGTCTCCCGTGGTGACCAACACTACCCCGTGCACTCCAAGGCCTCCCTCCATTCTCTAGTTGGTTCAGGAAGACAGCTTACTCCTTTGGCCCACAAATACCCACCCTCATGCAGCCTGACCGCCTTACCATCCCTACTCCCCACTCCTGGTGATAGTCTACTTATATTATTACCGATCGATCATCTGTCTGAGCTAGCTCAAGACCAGTCATCTCTCTATCAACAGCACCCACCACACCACAGCTCCTGGCGCTTATTAAAGGCTCAGTCAATACTAGCAGCTAGCTCAACAGATAAGCTAACAGGCATCTGTAAACAAACTACTTTTCCTTGCTCCCAAGGCTCCGTCATCTACACCGGTGTGCTCTGCAAGACATAAGTCACATTAAACATTGTCTATTACACACAGGAGCTAATATGAAAGTTCTCAGTCCAGAACCGGAGCACAGCTCGCTGCCCATCATGCCATCCTATGTAGCCCATGTGCAGCGTACAATGACTCTAATTGGCAAGCAAGCTTCCCGTTTCCACACGGAGAATCACTTTAACTATCACAGCTAACTTTTCCTATGTCCTCCCAGTAGTTATCAGAGTTACATCTTCAAGGCTACGCGCTTGTTCCACACCCAACAGGATTCTGTGTGGCCAAGGTGTACTGGGAACAATCTGCTCGCAGCACAGGGCAGCTCCACCTACAGTATTAGCTAGCTGTGTTCAATCCCTTACCTCCGAAGCACTGCTTCTGGAAAATCTGCTCAACACAAACTCAAACACAGGGGGAAAAAAGGGGGGGAAAAAACCCACATAAGTCCATACAACGTAAACTACCTAAAATTTCTGCTTCGTAACCATTTATCCAGTCTTCACTGAAGAACTCCGGAAAAGATGGCTGGCTGACCACGAATATGCTTAGCACTATTGTTCCACGTGGCTTTGGGGGTGGGGTGGGAGGACACGTCTTTTAAAAGTAATACGCACAAGTTCACTCTGGCTGGGTTATGCACACCTCCTTTTTACACCGAAAGCCTGACTTTCAAAACCACGTGATCTCCACCCCATTTCAAGTTAAGTTCCCCCTGAAGGTAGCCGATTTCACCCGACTGGAAAAGGCAGTCGAGAGCACTCTGGAGCTGGAAGCAAACATTTCGGCGGGGACCAGCGGGCTCCCTAGAGGGGCTGATGAAGCCGGGACAAAAAGAGGCGAGGGGACGATGGCCACCCGGGTGCTCGCTGGAGGTGTGTGCACCTGTCTTCCTACGACTGCAAAAAACGGGGGGGAAGAGCCCACACCCCCAAACACGGACTCCCCCCTCCGGACGGCCCAGTGCTCCAACGCCTCGGGTCCGGCGCTGCGCGGCCCCGCCAACCTCCCGCCTCGCGCCCTCCACGCCGACTTCCGGGCCGGCGCTCCCGCCCCACAGGCCCCGAGCGCGCCCCCGCCGCCGCCGCCACCACCACCACCGCCAGCCGCGCGCCCCTCACATTTTTCGCTGCCGCTCGAACTCCGCCTTCTTCTCCTCCTCCTCCCGCTTCTGCTTCTCGTCCAGGCTGCTGCGCTTGCTCACCGTGCGCCCGAAGATGTCGATGCGGTCGGGCGGGGACGAGGCGCGCTCCCGCTCGCGCCGGGACGCCGCCGCGTTGGTGGAGCGCGAGCGTGAGCGCGACTCCCGCCGCCGGTTCCGTTTGCTCTCCCGGGACTTGGAGCGCTTCCGCACCCGCTCCTTATCCCGCGAGCGCGAGCGCGAGCGGCTGCGCTTCTTGTTGTGCTTGGAGCTCTTGGTGTGCTTGGAGCGGGACGAGCTCCGGCTCCGCGACCGGCCCATCCTCGCGCGGCGCGGCGCCCGCCGCCTGTCACCCGCTGCCCGCCGCAGGCCGCCCCTCGCCGCCGGGAAGCTCGGCCCCCCGCCCACGGACCCTCCGCCTCGCCCCGAGCGCACCCGCCGCGCACACGGCCGGCTTCGCCGTAGAGGCCTAGCAGGCCTGGCCCGGAGTTCCTAAGATGGCAGCTGCGGCAGCACCGGCCGCCCTTCCCACAATGCCCTGCGCCGAGCGTGCCGGCGTGAGCCCCGCCCCCCGGCGACGTCGCCGAGGCGGGCCGGCGAGTGCTGCCGAGCGCGCTCGGCTCTTTCCGCCACTACGCGGAAACCAGAGCCTGGAGTTGGGCCGCCTTCGGGTCTTTCTCTACTAACTCAAGACCCACGAAAAATTTAGGAGTTAGAAACTATTTATGCCGGGCGATGGTGGCGCACGCCTTTAATCCCAGCACTCGGGAGGCAGAGGCAGGCGGATCTCTGTGAGTTCGAGACCAGCCTGGTCTACAGAGCTAGTTCCAGGACAGGCTCCAAAGCCACAGAGAAACCCTGTCTCGAAAAACCAAAAAAAAAAAAAAAAAAAGAAACTATTTATGATGAACGTTGGCTGAAAGGCAGAATAAGTTCCGAGTAAGTAGGAAATGCATGTTGTTTTCCTTAGCCAGCTTTGAGAATTTACCCTTTACAAGCCACGTGTGCTGGTACAGGCTCATACCAGTAGCTCTAGGAACAAGGAGGCCTGTGGTTCAGCTGTTCAAGGTCAACCTTGGCCATGCAGTAAATTGGAGGCCAGATGGGGATACACACATAAAACATTTTTATACACATACACGCAAATTATGCATACATGTATACCATACATATGCCAACCACAAAACTAAAGCAATTCCCGGAGGACTCCCGAATTATCCTTAGGATGTATATATTAGAACTAATTAAATACTTCTAAGTTTTATTGAAAAGGTTGCATCATTGTGGATTTTCAAAAAATTCCAGGCCAGCTAGGGCTATGTAGTGCACTCTAGGCCTAGCCCCAGGAGGCTAGGGAAAGATGAGGAAGAGAAAAATGAGATATTACTAATCTCATTAGGGTCTTTTAGCTTTTGGGCTGCTTTAACAAAATATCAATAACTCAGCCGGGCGGTGATGGCACAGCCTTTAATCCCAGCACTTGGGAGGTAGAGGCAGGCGGATCTCTGTGAGTTCGAGACTAGCCTGGTCTACAGAGCTAGTTCCAGGACAGGCTCCAAAGCCACAGAGAAACCCTGTCTCGAAAAACCAAATATATATATCAATAACTCAAAGTTGTTTCCCAGGCTTTCGGGGGGGGGGGGGTGAGAAGTACTCTATTAAGTAGGGTGGGTCTGTTCGAGCTTCCAACAGGAGACCCTAGTGCTGTGATTTAGGAGAGGTGAAAGAGCTTCTAATCAACACCTTATCAATGCTAATCCCATTTTTTTTTTTGAAGCCAGAGCCTCCCGGGCGGTTTCATCTTTTCTAAAAAGGCCCCTCTTGCTCCTCCTCTCCCTTCTCCTTTTGGATTTTTGAGACAGGGTTTCTGTACCAGTCTTGGCTGTTCTGAACTCCATCTCAGACCAGGTTGACCTCCAACTCAGAGATCTGACTGCTTCTACCTCCTGAGAGCTGAGATTACAGTGGACGAAGGCCATGCTTCTTAATGCTGTCACATTGCATGTTAGGTGTAACTTATGAATTTAGAAATCTTCTGGGGTTACCGAGGCAGCATGTGTTGCATTCTGCCTCTCTCTCTCTCTCTCTCTCTCTCTCTCTCTCTCTCCCCACCTCAGCACCACATCCCAGCCATAGGGCACCTTGTGAGAATTGGGTACACCACCATGTTCCAGTGCCCCTCGTCATGACATCTGCAAACATCCATCCCAGCTAGACAGGATTTGAGGGTAACACTTCCATCAGTGTCCCACCCAGCACCTTAGCAGGCTGTCAGGGACTTCAGCCATATACCCCTCTCTTGCTGAGACCTCTCCTTGAGAGATGGATGGCCCCCCTGATCTGCCCTTCACCTGGTGAGCTCACGTCAGTCACAGGATGCATTCGACTAACATCATGAATCAGTAAATGAACACAACCGTATTATCCAACCTCCATAGCAATCTAAAATAGCTTTCTAGAGAGTTTGAGACAACAGAGTTTTGCACACCTTCTGCCCAGAGCGAGTCACTTTGATCACAGCTCTGGCCATAGAATTTGGAGAACTTCGACTTCCAAACATTATTTTTTGGTTCAGTCTAAAATGTTCAGTTCTGAACAGAGCAAATAGCCTTTTGCCTAAAGAATCATCTGATTCTTCATCTGAAACTAAGGTTGGGAAGTCCAGTGCTATTGAAAGTTGACCACATGTCTATGCAAAACAAAACAGAAACTCTGTGCACACTGGAAGAAACTAACAGAGACTTTCACTGAGGAAGAAGAAAAAGGCCCTTTTGTGCGTCTAAAGCATACACAGGTATGACATGCAGGACCTGTGTCCTTTTTGTTCAAACGGCAGGGGAACAGGCCAGCCAAAGCTCTCATTACTATGAAGGTGGAAAGGCACAGAAGCTTCCATCTTGGAAGCGTGCAGGAATCACATTAGATCATAGGACAGTGGCAGGAGGACAGGATGGACTGTTCTCTGAGAGACAGGAAGAAGCTTGCCGAGCTGGGACAGGTAGCCAAATCTACAGCATTGAAAACAGGGGATTTCGCTGGTTTCTTTTTTAATTGATTATTTTCAGCAGCGGCCTGGGAGTAGAGTGAGGGTCCAGGGAAAGACTTCTGTAACAGAGACAAGGCCTCACCAGGCCATCTGCCCCAGTGGCGCAGGTCAGGGGAAAGGTGGACCTCCAAAGACAGGAGTTAAGTGTGTCTTGAAGCCCTGTGCTCAGAAGCAGTATGAGGGCTGGGACAGCAAATAAGATAAGGTTTGACGCCGGGCGGATCTCTGGGAGTTCTAGGCCAGCCTGGTCTACAAGAGCTAGTTTCAGGACAGGCTCCAAAGCTACAGCGAAACCCTGTCTCAAAAAAACAAAAAAAGAAAGAGATAAGGTTTGACTAGGAGGTCAGCCAGCTCCTAGGACTGGCCAGAACTACAAAGGCCTGGAGGAGAGGGGACCTTAACTGAAGTCTGGTAAGCAAGCGTATTCTCAATCCTCAGTGCAGACCAAACAGCTCAGCTCCCTGGAAATGGAAAGTAGACAAGATAGCCAAGCAAAAGTTGGGAGCATGGAGGTGGGGTGGAGTTGGGGGAAGGGGAGAGGGGGAGAGAGAAGGGAGAAGGAGGGTTGGGGAAAGCTTGGGGGAGTGGGATGGTTGAGATGGAAGAAGAATGGATATGGGAACAGGGAAGAAGATATCTTAATTAAGGGAGCCACTTTGGGTTGGCAAGAGGCTTGACTCTAGAGGGGTTCCCAGGTGTCCATTGGGATGTCCCCAGCTAGGACCCTGGGCAGTGGAGGAGAGGGAGCCTGAACTGGCCTTGGTTATGTCCAAATCCATGGATCCCCTACAAAAGCCAACAAAGGAGACCGAGTGTCCCATATGTAAAAGCAAAGAGCCTTTATTTTAATCAAGTTTGCAAACGTCCAAAGTCCAAAGTATTGGAATATCCAGGTCAGCCTCGTCTACAAAGAGAGTTCCACAAAAGCCAAGAAACCCTGGAGGGGAGGGGAGAGAGAAAATGCCTCCAGAAGATTGGGCTGTAGGCAAGCCTGCTGGGCATTTTCTTAATTAGTGATTGACAGGGAAGAGTCCAGCTCACGTGCTGGTGACCTGGGTTCCTTAAGAAAGCAGGATGAGAAAGCCACGGGGAGCAAGCCAGTAAGCAGCACCCCTCCATGGCCTCCACATCAGCACATCAGCTCCTGCCTCCAGGTTGCTGCCCTGGCTGCCTTTTGATGAATGAACTCTTATGCAGAACTGTGAGTGAAGTAAACCCTTTCCTCCCCAAGTTGATTTTGGCAACCCAGACTATGACAGCAAGCTTCCCATAGCTACAGCAAGTACCCGAGATAATCAGTCTACAGCAAAAGTGTTTATGTTAGAGGCTGCAACCACGGCTTATTAGCCCTTTCACTTGAGTAAGACGGGATTGGCAAACATAGCAAGGCAGGGCATGTGACAGAAGAGACTGCTCAACTCAGAACCATAAACTGAGGAAGAAAAGGTGCAAGGGTTTTCTAGTTCCCCCTGAGGGTACACCCCAATGATCTGAAGGCCTTCTGCTAGACCCCACCCCCTAAAGCGTCCTCCGAGTCTTATGTACATCCATCTTGAGAGGAAGCCTTCAACACATCGGCCCTTGGGGGACAGTTGACATCTAAACTGTGAGAGTGGAGCTGTAGCGCAGAGCTGGGACCCCCATGTTGGTCCTTAGAGAAACACATTACTTGCTTTTATTTTTTTAAAAAAAAAAACTTAAAAATGAATTTTTTTATACATAAAGGTTTTTTTTTGTCATATTTGTATTTTTAACAACAACAAAAATGTTGTCCCCTAGGGGGGAATTTTGTATATGAGGCAGAAAGGAGGGATGAGTGTGATTAAGCACCTAGATTTTCACTCAGGAACTACATTACCAAGTGTTTATCATCCTCTGAAATTTTATGACATTTAACAAATCCTCCTGAGACTGCCAAGTATTTGCTGCTCAAAGCGTCTGAGCTGCCACAGCTTAAAACTCAGAACCAGGTTTTCAAATCGAACCCAGTATTTTGGCACTCATTGGCCTTGCATGGGGATAAAATGAGACTGGGGATGGATTTTTCTTCCTAGCTCACCATCCAAACATCTGTAGTAGGAAGAAATATAAACCACTTCCTGCTCCTCCTTCTGAACTGAAAGTCACCACAAAACCGATTGGCAGAGAGTAGTCATTTCTTGACATGTAATGAGGGGCAGGTATTCAGGCAGATCATAGTTTGAGGGGCTGGCCTCTGCCCTATGGTGTCTGGGGCTCGGCTGGGGAAACCAGACGACAGAAGGGGCCTGGTGCCTTCATGGCCAGTCGCTGGAGTTTTCAGCCATACATCTGTCACTCTACCCAGTCTGAAATTTACCAGGTTGTGTCTACCAGGTGTGTCTGCAGGTGGCCTCTAACTTTATTTATTGCGGTGCTTTGAAAGGGAATGTCCCCAGTAGACT